TTGAAATAAAACTTTCTAAATTTATAAAACAATGTTTTTTTTTGTTATAATTTTGTTTTCAGAAAAAAATTCTTAAAAATGTGATTTTTGACATTTAAAAATTTCCCGGTTCCCGGGAAATCCCAGGATCTTTCAAATTTTCAATCCCGGATCCCAGGAATGAAAAAAAGTTTGGGAACGGCACCCACTAGCTATGAAATATTAAAACCATTTTTAATAAACAACTCAATTTAAAAAAAATCTAGGTTGCATATAAGAAATATGAGCAAATGCAATAAAATATGAGCAATAAAATAACAACTTTATTCAATGTGATTAACTCCAAATAGTAGTTTAATGCTAGTGGCCTTCGGTCTAATACAGATAGTATGTGATTTGATTATTAAGCACTATCTTCTTGCTTGGTCTGGGAAAAAACCATTGAAAAAATACTTTTATTTATTACTATCAAGTAAAATTTAGTGCATGAAAGTTGTTTAATGAGACGCATTTTTGTACATCTCTGCCCTCGCCCAGTTGCATGCTGAATGGAAATCGCAAAGAGTTCAGTTCATTAATGATCAGCTGCAAAACATTGGAAGATATTTTAACAATTCTAGAATGCATGACATCATTTAACAAAGGTATTGCTTTAACTTTCTTTTTTTGATCGCTACCACACAAAAGTTCTATTTTGTCTAGTAAAAAAGACTTGAAAAAATTCTGCAATAGTTTAGGGCTTTTTTTATTGGACAATGCAATATACAACTTTGTAAACATGATTTTTGTGTTAGAGTAAAACCTAGTTTTAGTAAAGTGCAATCCATTGCAATTTAAGCTTTTTGGCATAAAAACCACTAACATTATCAAACGCGTTTTTTGAGTGGACTGATTTAAAATATTTTGACAATTTTACTGGCTACAAACTGCCATAAGCAAGTACTTTATTAAATAAAAAGCACTGTGGCTTTTGTATTCTATCTCATTCAGTAAAAAAAAGGAAAATGTAGGTGAAAATATATAAAACAATAGATTTCCTTTTTATTAACAAAATGTAACAAAGAATAAAATTATTTTTTACAAAAATACGCTTTAATTAATGAAAAACTTAACATTCTTTTTGCTTAATATCAAACTGCACATATCTTGCTATCAGCTATCCATTGAAAATATAAAAAAATTTCTTGTTTAAAAGTAGTAGAACTTTAGCTTGATCTCAATAACTTGATCTCTAACTAGGACAATGAAGTTACTCATAAAATTAGATGAACAAGTCTATATATCTGCAATAGATGATACAAATACAGCTTTATGGATCAAAAAAAATACAAATAAAACTTGTTGTTATTTTTACTGACCTATGTACACAAAAAATATAATCTATTCAAAATACAAGTGAAACACACAAAGTGTCTTTTTGCTATTTGGTATGCACATACTTGCCCACAATCATTAAAACTTTACTTGTAAGGATGTTGAAACACATGCAAACACACGTGTCGAAATAACCACTAAATCATACTGCATTTGTAAAAAAGTGTTAAAATCATCTAAACAAAATCAACTTTTGATAAGCTGGTTAAAATCTCCAGTTTCTTTTTACTTTCCAAAAGTAACTAGACACATTACAGCATTTTTTTTTTTTTTACTTTTGTCTACTTTAAAAACGTAAACACATATGCTTTAGATAAAAAATCAGTAAAACTTGAATGATTATAGTATTTTTCAAAACCATATATGTACACTAACAATGAACAAATTTGAAATTTGTTGAAATTTATTTTATTACAGAACCTGAATATTGCAACATACTTGCTTTTTTCCAACAATGCTTTTACTGTCAAAAGTTATAGATTTGTTTTATAATATAAAGATGAGTAAGTATTTACTTACTGGAGTTAATAAAGATTTTTATTTATATTACATTTATATTACTTTTTTATTTATTCTTGCTGTACCATATAAGTATATAGATCATTACAGTTGAGGTTACGATGGTCACTCAAGCAGAAGTGATTACTACAGTTGTCATTACAGTAAAAAGGATCACCTTGAAACTTAAATTCTGCTGGAAATCTTTCACTGAAAAAAAAAAAAAAGAAAAGGAAAACTACTGTACACTACTGCTAAATCTTTTTGATTTATACTGTTTGTTATTAAGTTTATATAACACAAGATTAAATAAACTTATATTTTAAACTTATATAATCTTGCTAGTTGTTATTAAAATTTTTTTAAATTATTTTATCAAATTTTTTTTGCCATTTCTATTGAGTAAGCTAAACCAGGTAATGATATTTCTTAAAAGATATTTAATGATATTTCTTAAAAGAGTCTGTGATTTGCAAAGGTTGTAAATATAAGAAAAAATTAAAGATTCATGAAAAGATATTCCGAAAAATTTTATGACTAATCATAAAATGAATTACTTAAAAAGTTTCTTAAAAATCATGAAACCATTATCTTTTTTTGCATACAGAGAATTCGAGATGCAGCAACCATTGGTTAATTTCATCCAATATTTTGATATTCAATTGGTGTACTAGGAACTTTAAACTGAGGAACTGACCATCAAAAAAATTAAATTGAAGTAGTAACCAGAAAAAAATTTGAATTTTAGGTACTTACCAGCTAAAAAACTCAACCCATACAGCACTTTCCAAAATTTTCATATTGAAAATTTGAAACTAATTCAAAACTTGTATTATATTTATATTCACTATGTTGTAAAGATGATGAAAGAAGATGCTTAATTAATTGGCAACAATTCTTATAAAATATAAAGTAACTTTAATATTTGACATAATAAACATTGCATCACTAATAAATTAATAAACTTTTACAAGTCACTTTTGCTCACAAGTCACCTTTGCTCTAACTTGAGGCATTACATTAACCATATGGTAATAATTTTCAATTAAAACTAATAATTTTTAAAGCCTTAGACATGTTTGCTCTGATTATCTTTTTAGGAAACTGGGTACTAAACAAACTCTTTGCAAAATATGTTCTAAATACACCAATCTTTTTGCAAACTGCTAATAAACCTACTATACATGTAATAACCATATAATGCTTATATGGTATATACTGGTATATACATACATGTAGGGGTACAATGGTATATAAATGGTGTATACATACATGTATAGATGTATATACATGTATATACATACATGTAATAATGTATATACATACCATGGTAAATACATACATGTAATAACCATATAATAAACCCACTATACATTCGCAAGCTTCAGCATAAAATCAATCTAAAATTTTCTCCAGTAATTTCTAACTTAGTTTAATATATGTACATTTTCTCCAAATACAGTGTATAAACTGAAACTACATTTAGCACTGACACAACTTTACACCACATTTTTTTTTTTTAATTTTATTATCTTATCATTTCATTATCCTATTTTCTTATTTCATTGTCGCATTTCTTATTTAAACCAGATTGACCATTGTCTTGTTGTTCCATCCTATTTCATTATCCTATCAATTTATTGTCCTATTTTCTATTTAAAAATCAACAATCTTTCTTTACATTCTCACAAAACAAACAACTCTAATAATCTTAAAATTGCCTTTCTGTCTCTAGTCTCTTACAGAAAGCAACTTCTTTTTTTCTTTTTGCTTCACTACAAGTTTTGCAACTTCTTTACTTTATATACTCATGACTAAATGATCACATTATATCACATTGATATTCACACTAGTTGCTCTACAGAAACAGACTGAACCTTGATGTTGCGATATACTTGCTTTTGTCTAACAATGCCTTTCCTGGTAAAAGTTATAATATAGAGACAATATAATAATAAATATTTAGTCAATATATATCAAATATAATAAATATTTAGTCATTATAAAATCAAATATAATAAATATTTAGTCACAAGACACAGTCATGTTTGTGACACAGTCACAAAAAAATACAAAGATGGCCAGCCTTAAAGTTTTCTAAGCTTCTTCTACCGTTAAGACTCAAAATACAAGGTTAATTATTATTTACTCTTAACTCTATATTATAAAATTATTTCATACTTGAGATTTATTTTTATTAGTTAATTATTAATTTTACAGTTTTTTTTTTAGTTCCACCTTTGCAACTTTAAAATTTTTAAATGACAGGAGTGTGATTGAAGAATTATTTTTTAAACTTTATTTCAGACTTATCTAACAAAAGAGAGTTTATTTTCTCCTGTGAATATATTACATAAAGTTGATATATTTTTTGAATATTTCCTCTTAAAGATTAAATAAATATTATTAGATGTTTTGATTAAACTTATTAAACTATGCTTGCTTAATAAAAATAGTTACAAACATAGTTATAAGAAATAATAAAAACCTATAGTTAGTATCAAATTAAAGTAACTAAATTTTTTTTTTGTTTATTTTATAAACAAAAATAATTATGTTTATAATTATTGCAATCTGATTGCTTAAACCAACCCTTTCTTTTATTTATAGCTTCTTATTTTAAATGCGCTATTAGTGTTGCAAAGTGCTAAAAATGCTAATTTGATTTATGTAATATTTAACACAGTAAAAAATACTTTTCCATAATAACTTTCATAAATCTCAAGAACAATATTCCTAGATGTTTCACTAAAGTTTAAATTTCTTGTGTCTTCCCGAAAATTGTGAAAATTCTTTTAATTATTTAACACTCATTACACCATCAGGGGCTATTCTAGACCCTTTTTGACAGCGTGGAATGTATTTGAGCACTGCCAAAATTCAGAAATTGAGGACCTTTTTTTTTATACAACAAATGTAATTTTTTTCACAAAAAAATACATACATACGGAATTGTTTCCATCAAATTTCCTTACTGAAGGCACCAGCACAGGGGGTACCGCTGCCCAAATTTTTTTCCTACAATAGCCCCTGACTAAAGATCAGCCAAATGCAAAATATGCTCTCAATACAGTTGTAAAAATGTACAAGCTTACAACTACTTTAGTTCAAATTATAAAAATACAACATTAAAATTATAAAAAACTTACACAAGCAGCTCGGACAACAACTATCCTTCGAAACAATCAGCTGATCTTTAGGACACGAGGCATCAACTTTACATACTTCTGGAATGCATGAAACTGTCCCTTCCTATATAAAACACAATTTGAAAATTTAGCTGTAACAAGTATAATCCTATTGGATAAAAATTAACAAATATAAAATATTATAATTCTAATTGAAAAAATTACATTACAATAACAGGTGGTGCATTTGTCAAGTCTATAACTCTTTTTGTTAACCAATTGACTTCCTTTAAACCAACAAGAATGATCTTTCCAGTGTATAAAATTTGCTGCTGCATCTAAATTAAATTTTTTATAAATAAAAAGTATATATTTTACAAATCTAAACCTAAATTAAACTGAAGAAACAAACTTATAAAAAGGCCTAATTTCAGACATCATAAATATCAAAATGAGAAAATATATATTAGTAATCTTGGAAACAGTAGATAATAAACCCTAGTATACCCTAGAATTTGTTACCTAGAACAATTAGTAGATAATAAACCCTAAATAAAGGCTTAACTTAAATGAAGAATTTTAACAATTCTGGTTTTAAAAGATAAATATATTTTAAAAAGTTATACCTTTATCACAGATTGGACAACACTCATCTGGGGTCTGAATATAATTTGAACAATGAAGATGAGGACACTTGATGTGAGTACATTCCAACAAACTGTTCTTTAAGTAAACAAAATTTGAAAAAAATTTAAAATAAATAAATATAAACAGGAATAAAAAATTTAAAATTAAATTTACTTTGCATATACATGAGCTACAACTTCCTATTTTAATTGCTTGTCCTTCATTTAGTAGAATATTGTTGTAATAACATCCTAGGATTAGGAAAAAGTTACAATTAATGTGTTATAAGATCACGTTTTTATATAAAAAACAAAATAAAATTTTATACCTGCGCATCTTGGGCAACATTCTCCAAGTATCAATATAGGGCTTGAACAATTAACTATGCATTCCGGTGAGATAATGGAAACAACACCTTCCTTTTAAAACAAACAAAAACATGAAAATAAAAAAAAAAGTAAAATGTTTTTCATTAAAAAATAAATTTATTAATGAACAAGATGGAAAAATAAATTTTTATTATTTTTTATGACATTATTAATATAATAAATTAAATGTTTATTCTTTTGCTTTTAATAAACTATTGAATAAGCTTTTCGCTAATATTTATCAGGTCTTCATAAAAGCTCTGTCCCTTTCTATGACAACAATATTTGACACATAAACATATGTTTATTTGGTACATGTTAAGCTCTATATTTTTATTATGATATTATCTAATTGTTGAAAATAGTCAGCAACTGGATAATTTGGAGATGGAAGTTCGAAAAAAGAGACAGTATTATATTAGATTTTTTTTTAATCTCTTTTATCATTCACATTCACAAATCTTTTGGGACGCAGATAAAGAAAACTTTCTTTTAAAAATTCTTGTTATATTCCTCTGTCAGCCCTATAGCTCTAAAAAACAAACCTTGACAAACAAAACTGCAGCACTAAGAAATAAGTTAAGCAACATACTTGGTGAACAAAAGCATCTTTCACTTATAAAGTAAAATGTCAATCATTGCCAAAACCACATATGGTATGGACCTACAATGGTTAACCTTTAATACTGTAATAAATTTTATTTTTGACAACTTCATTTCCAAAAAAAGCTGCAAGCAACCACTATTAGAGTTAGAAGTTACTGGGAAAAAAAAAGATGAAGTTTATAGAGCAATATAATGATCGATAGACAACCTAAAAGATTGCAAATTATATAAATCAGGAAAACAAGATGTAGGAAGCAAATTCTAAAGAGCTTAAAGAGCTTATTCAAGGGAAAAAATTAGACAAATAAGAATTTTTAAAACCCTTAGGAACAGTAACAGTAAAAGGATAAGACGTAATTTAATGACGAGTAACACGAGAATGAATTTTAGTGGATGAAACAAGAGACACTTGCTCTAGAGCAGTGCCCATTATAGTATTTATAGAAAAGGGAAAGAGAAGCAACATTAAGATGATGTGATAATTTCTGGAGGTTGGCTGCAAGAGCAGGTCCAACTATGTTTACATTGCATTTTTGTACCTTGTCTAAAAGAGAAAGGGCATCATTCAAAGATCCGCCCCAGATATGGCAACAGTATTCCATACAAGGACGGATTTGAGATTGATAAAGATAAAAAATAGAATAGCCAGTAAAAAATTGTTGAGCACAATAAAGAGATGCAACCTTAGCAGATGCTAATTTTGTCATTGATTTGATATATGGTTTCCAATAAAGATTGGAAAAAAGACTTAATCCTAGAAGATGAAAGGTAGCTGACTTATCAAGTACATTACCATTCATAAATATAGAAAGATCTAGATTATTGCGATAACAATTAGATGAAAAGAATTGAATTTTATCTGAGTTGAAGTCAACAGCCATCAAGAACCCCATGCTGTAGCAGAAGTGAGATCTTTCTAAAACTCAAGTGCTCTCTTCAAACAATCAAAGAGTGTTGGCTTCTTATCAAGACAAGAATAAATGATAGTATCATCAGCAAACAATACCACCTTAGATGTGATAATTTCTGGAAGATCATAAATTAAAAAAAGTATATGGCTAAGGATAGAACCTTGAGGAGCCCCTGAAGTTACAGGATATGAAGAAGAGTGCTGTCCATCAATGACAACTTTTTTACTATGGCTGGTGAGGAAGAATTCAACAATCTTAAAGATGTTACCTGATACTTTATAAGAAGACAGCTTATGGAGAAGACCAGCATGCCAACTTTATTAAAGACTTAAGAAATGTTAGCGTTATGAGAGCGACAGCCTTAGCCTCTCCACATCTCTCTAATGCACAATAAAACCTATCAGTCATTACCGCTAACAAATCAGCAGTAGAATGAGAAGATTGAAATCCATATTGATGATCAGAAAGTAAATTATCAGATTTAAGATTAGATATTAAATGTATGTTAATTAAAGACTCAAAAACCTTGCCTATGATAGGAAGAAGACTAATGCCACGTTAGTTAGACAACTCAGATTGCTCTCCAGAATTTTTGAAACTATTGATAAGCACTTTCCAGTAGGATGGAAAACAAGACTCTGATAAGCACATGTTAAATAGTTATGAAAGTGTAGACAACAGCTGCGGAAAAAAAATTAGCAAGACTATAACAGGTATGTTGTCTGAACCACAAGCTGTAAAAGAGTCTAAGCAGGAAATCATTTTAGATACAGAAGCTGGAGTGATAAAAAAGTCAAGCAATCAACTATACTGTTTGTCAGCTATATCAAGAAGAACTCAACTATTGGAATCAAGAGATGATATTAATGAGAAATTTTTAAGCAAACAATTTATTCTTGCCTTGAGGTGAGATTTTGAAAAAAATTTGAAGCATACAAGAGAGGTAAAACAACAGATTTGCCCTTATTATAGATACTGTTGAAGATTCTCCAAAAAGCCTAATTTTTGAAATGAAATTTGAGATTTCATGACCTCAGAATAGTGGACTTTGGCGCTAGATACACCTTTTTGCAATGGTTTATAGCAATAGTAAATAAACATCTGTTTTCTGCAGAATTGGTTTTGCTGATATATATTAAAGTAATGCTTTCAAATCAAAATTGCAGCAACATAATTAGAGGAAATCCAAGGAGAAGAGTGAGGCTTGACTTGGATCATCAAGAGGAAAGAAAAGATTCCATGAAAATCACAGAAAGAGTCCCAGCCAGAATTGAGATAGTTATAAGAGGTGCAATAATAGGGGAATTCTGATGATGAAGAAGAATGAGATAATGGTTTTAGATAGATCAAACCGTAATCAGAAGCACCTATTAGTAAATGTGGAGAAACTGAGCTCTGAATAGGAGCAGTCTGATTGTTTGGAAAGTGAGTTGGAAAGTTGACTACTTGAGTAAGAGATTGGGAAAAGGAAAAGTCGTAGGCCTTAATATCTTCAGAGTTATTGACAATAGAGCCAAGCTATTTAGTGAGATGAGTATTAAAGTCATCAACAATAGCAATATTGATTGAAAGTTAAAGGGAGAGGGCTTGGTCATAAAAAAGTTGAAATAACATAAAAAAGTGCATTCTTGAGATGAAGGAGAGCATTAAAGAACAAAGAGAAAGGCGCTAGAACAAAATAGTGCTAAACGAAAGCACATAAAAGAATAATCTGTGAATTCAAACCTAGTTTCCCAACAATTGAGTGAATTCTTACGAATGTAAATACAAACTAAAAGAAGATAACCATCAGCACTAAAATCACAAGATCAGACAGTCAAACTAAAATTAGTCTCACAAATAGCAAGTAGGTCTAGTGAACTTTGCAGGAGATAAGACTCAGCAGAAGTAAAGTTACTTCAAAGACCACGAATATTAGTGAATGATAGATTTAGAGAACTTGATGATGACGATGGTTTTTTGTGTTTTATAGTTTTTGGTACTTTAGTCATTTTAAAAATTGGTTAAAGAACTTGACTCAAGGCACAGGTAGTACTCAGTACACTATCTAATATTAGTGAATGATAGATTTAGAGAACTTGATGATGACGATGGTTTTTTGTGTTTTATAGTTTTTGGTACTTTAGTCATTTTAAAAATTGGTTAAAGAACTTGACTCAAGGCACAGGTAGTACTCAGTACACTATCTAATAGTCCAAGCAATAACCTCATTACTATTAATAAACCCTTAGGAGATAATAAAATGAGTTGCTTAGTCATAAGAACAGGGACCCAAGCAAAACTGATGCATTGAATCAAGATGATCTAGCATTCAACTACTTAAACTGTTAATAATGTATTATAAGTACATCTATGCGCCAGCCTAATAGATAAAGAAGGGGTGAGACTGGTCAACAGATAGAATATGAGTACCCCTTAAGTCTTTGCTTAGGAGGCCTTCTACAATACAATAGGCAAATGCATTCAACCTCTGGCCAAAATGAGTATTTTTATTGCGACACCATCTCTAGCCTTTTCTCAACCAAGAGCCCCTTCAAGAGCAAGGTAGGGAGTGTTTTAAGTCAGAGTTGGCTTCTCCTAGTCTTTAGCTAAAAAGCATATCCTATAAGGCAGCAGAACATAAAGCAGGCTGTACTAGGTTACATGTTACCAGTAGCAGGATAACTTGACCTGACCTGACACAATTATAAATGTAAACGTAGATATATAAATAATTATAAAAAAATTACCTTGCATTTATAAATCAGGCAAGTATTATTTTCATCAACCCATGTGTCATCATGCTTGTGATAGAAGTCTCTATAGTAACAACCTGCAATATAATTAGGACGAAGTTATATTCTACTGAATTTGGAGTTTTCTACTTAATTATTCATACTTTAAAAATATGGAGATGTTCAGATAATTTGTTTTTGCGCCTTTAGTGTAAGTTTACTTAATTTATGCTTCTAACATATCAGTAAAGGTTTGGATTAATTCAGCATGTTTCAGTCAACAATAAACACCTGTTAGATTATTTCAAGCAATTCTGTTTATTAATAAAAGAAACATTTGAATTTGGATCCTTCGATGAGAAGATTACTGTTACAGTAAATATCTGTATTTTCTGAAGAAAACAATAAAATTAACAAATACTGTAACTTACTTTGAAAAATATTAAAATTAGTGTCTTTTAAATCAATTAATTTTAATTTAATTTTAAAAAATTCTCAACATGTTTCAATTTAAAAAGATATTTTTAATAGCGAAAACTTTTTATTGTTAAAAATTAAAAAGAAGTTAATATTGCTTAAAAAGAAAAAAACTTTGAAATCAAAATTTCTAAAACATCAAAAACTTTTATGTCAAGCGCAAAAAAAGCAACAAACAAAAAAGCTTATACAAGTTGAAAAAATTAACAGATGCCTAAAAAAACTAATTAAGTATAGGATAGAGAAATTGCATTAGTTATAAATTGAGCAACATCTCAGTGCTCATTCGTTTGTGATTGACATGGTACTAATGGCAGCCATTGCAACCAAGTTAATGGCTAGAAAGAGTCTCAGTACTTCTTTTTTTAAAAGAAAATGTGAAAGAAAGTGTAATATTCAATTTATGTAAACTTCAAACCATGTAATGTTAAAACAAGTTTTGCAGTGTAACTTTTACTTAAAAGTGCATTGTGACAATGTCTCCTTTATGTGACAATATCTCCTTAATGTGGCAATATCTCCTTAAGCTTGATTAATAGCATTTATTTGCCCTTTTATACAGTCTTTTGTTTATTAAAGACTACTAAAACGTGGGTAGTACTATACACCTAAATGGCTGAAGTGGTTAGGTCACAGCATTTCAAATACAAAGTGGCATGGTTCGAATCCCACCATTTGCACTTTTTTCAAAAATCTTTTTCAATTTTTTTAAATTACAAAATAAATCACTTTTTAAGTTCTATATATGTTATATATATAATGATATCATATACTATAACAAACAAAAGGAAACGAATTTAAAAAAAAATTATTTGGCGTATAAAATTATTTGGCGTATAAAGTTTTTTGTTTATTAAATTTATCATGTCAGGTGTATGGTCTTCTTAGTCATTCTGCTACTGGTAACATGCGGCCAGTGCAACCTGTTCCATGCCTGCTGCCATGTGGGATTCTCCTTCTAAGCGAAGGCTGGAAGGATTTTGGTTCCTTTCATCAGTACTATTTAAAATCAGTCATGCCTATAGTAATACATACCTATATTTATACGACTCTTCTAGCTTGTGCCTCCTTGATAAGCCTATGAAACTCTTCCTGTTTTCTCCTAATGCAGGTCTAAAACTCAATTCAATGGTTCTGAGGCCGGCTGGTAGTAAGGTTTCCTAAACTCACAGAGAGTGGTACCTCATAGAGAGGCTGATTCCATCAACAGCTGCAAATTATCAGAGTATTAACAGTGCCATGTTGCACATGGATGATGTCACTGCTAATGCTTTTGGCAACATTGTCAAGGCACATAAGAAGCCCTATTTTATGACTTAGGGTTAATTAACAGCATTAAGAAAATTGCTTAGCTGATTCTTTAGAAGGACGCTAAATGAGTTGCTCTATAAAAGTCAAGTTCTCTTTAAACTTAAATCATGCCAAAAGTAACCCAAAATATTAAACATAAAAAACCATCCCCACCACCTAATTGTTTTAATATATCTTTTAGTAACTTTTGTGGTCTGTGAAGCAACCTTTCATCAGTCGAATCTTATCCCTTACAAAATCCACCAGACTTGCTTGCTCTTAGTGAGACTAATTTGAATTATGCTACTCCTTCTTCTGATCTTAGTCTTAATGGGGACTGTCTTTTGATTCACAAAGACGCCAATAGTCACAAGCTTGGCTCAGTCATCACACTTGGCTCTAATGCCACTGACCTTGATGGCACTAAAACCTATATCTTCTGCTCTCTCAATCTCTTACTCAGTTAACTTTGTGACAGGTTAATTAGACACTCAAATCACTCTAGCTTCCGTTGCTAAAATCATATCTTGATTAAACTCTTCTACAAATTGTGGTCCAGACAACATTTCTGTAACAGTCTTACAAAATTGTTCTCTAGAACTCTCTTCAATTTTCTCTAAATAAGTGATTGGCTGAGTCTTGTTTTCCTGCCTGCTGGAAAATGAAACCTATGGTTCCAATTTTCAAAAACTCTTGTGAACATTCTGAACCCTGCAATTATCATCCAATCAATCTTCTTTCTGTTATTAGCAAAGTCTTTGAGTTTTTAAAAAACAAATTTCTCACAGCCTATCTTGAGTCAAATAACTTGTTGCCAGACAATCAATACTTTATTGATCCTCTCGCTCTATGGCTGACTTGCTACCTGCTGTAACTGAAAGATTTTATTGTGCATTAGACAGAGGCGGAGAAGCTAGGGCTATTGCTCTTGACATATCTAAGGCTTTCAACAAAGTTTGGCATACTGGTCTTCTTCATAAGCTTGTTTCTTATGGTGTATCTGGGAAAGTTTTTGACATTATCAAATCGTTTCTTTCTAACCACTTTATTAAATCATCCTTGATGGCCAACACTCTTCTTTATTTCCAATAACTTCTGGGGTATCTCAAGGTTCTATCTTCGGTTCTGCTCTGTTTCTTATCTACATTAATGATCTTCTCAACAAACTTACACCTAAAGTAGCTCTTTTTGCTGATTACTCAACTTTATACTCCTGTCTTTTCAGAAAGTCTTATCTTTTCGATGACTTAGAACAGGCAGCAGATCTTGAGTCTGATTTCACTTCTGTAACATATTGGGGCTCACAGTGAATTGTAAATTTTAACTGCAACAAAACTCAGTTATTTACTGCAAACAACTATTGCAGTATTGTCCACATTCCTATATTAATGAAAAGCAACCTTCACATTAAGTCTTCTTCTTTACATCTTCTTGGATTATCAATTACTACTGACTTTTTATGGAAACCATATACACAATTGATTGTGGCGGGATAGCTCAGATGATTAGAGCGTCAAAGGAAAAGATAAAACCCGGACTGTTGAACGATACAGGTTCAAATCCCGCCACCGCAAACTCAGCGCTTGAGTAGTACTTCGGTATGCAAAAATGTTGGAATAACGGACGCTACTTTGGATTAGTCTTAATGACTATTTGTGGCTGTTCCTATGCTATGCCAACAATATCTTCGGATATAAGAACATTGTATAGAAAAATATAGCATGAAAACTCAAATAAATTAAAAAAAAAAAAAAAATGTTAAATTAGTATCTGCTAAGCAGTGCTAGGAGTATTTGAAATACTAAGTATATAAAACACTATTTTAAATATTTTCTTTGTATATGTATTTGTATTTTAAATACTTTTGTTGAAAGTATTTAGTATTTGTACTTATAATACTTTTGATTGATATTTTGTATTTTGTACTAATTGAAAATACCTGTAGTTCAAATACTGCTTAAAACATTCACAACAACGCACACAAACAACAAAACTAACTGTTATGTCATAGTGACACTCTGCCACTATTTATTTTGAATTATTTCTTATTTTATTTATCTACCTTGGTTTATCTATCATGGTTTTTCTACCTTGGTTTCATTAGGGTAATTATTAAATTATTTCGTTGGAATCAACAATTTTAATTTATTAATGGCTGCCGTGAGCTGCAAAAACGAAATAACTGAAGAAAATAATGAAATTTTACCAGCCATTGTAGATGGTACTTATTTCAAAAATTGTAGTCAAATCAAAAAAATGTAATAAAATATCATCATTATGCTTATTATGTGTACGTAATTCAAAGCCACTATCGGGCACGCTGGCAGCAACTTCAAATTTTGTTAAGCATTTGAAGGTAATTTTAAAATTTAGTATTAGTTAAAATTAATTTACCTTATCTACAATGAAAAATATGCAACTAATTATTAACAAACAAATACTTAATGTTGGATTAAAGGCAAGACAGTACAAGTTAATATAAATCGAAATATACAATACATACTTAGTAACAACAAAGTAAAAACTTTTTTTTTAAAAGGATTTATGTTTACTTTATAGAACTTGCTCAAAAATCTTTGGAGACTATAAGGTACATAAGGCAGATGTTCAGAGAAAACGTAAGCTAGGCAAGGCTGGTGCAGGAAGAACGGCTGATTAAGGCCCTGCTAATAAGAAGTTCAAACAAAATACTTATCATGAAGCATCAGAATTTTCACCACGATGTTGTATTATATTGCAAGAAGAAGCTGACAACTTAACTACGGATTATATTACTGAAGAGATGCCTCCTTTGGCTACGCTTGAATAACCAGATTTTCGTTGACTGTTTCGTGGGTCTAATCCTAACCTAAATATCATTTATCGCAAGACTCTTAACAAACGTTTAATTTCAAAGCTATTTAGGATGCATGAAAAATAAGAAGCAAACTAAATAAAGCATCAGTTGTTTGCACTACTGCTGATATCTGGTTAGTCAATAGAAAAAGTTATCTTGGCATGACTGCGCATTATATTGAAATGCCACTAAATGATTCTAGTTTGGTTTCACGAGCATCATTTTCTAAAATGATGCTCATGAAACCAAACGATGAAGTTAATAAGGATGACATTGATGTAATTAATATTGGAAACATCCTTTCAGTTTCATTAGAACATAATGATGATGATGACGATGAGTTCATAGCCAAGAGTATTTCTTTGCCATCTCATGAAACATGTATCAGTTATTCACTGAATCTATTGGCAACTAATGCTAAGAATGCATGTGATACAGACAGTATGTTTAAGCATACCTACAGTGCAGGTCTGGCAAAAGGCACTTCAATATGAA